ATAACATTAATATCAGAAACTACAAAAATAAAAAAAAATAAACCAAAAAATATAATAATATGAATAAAATGAATAATAGAAAAACAATGTGCATTTACCACCAAAAAATTGAACGATTAAAATATTAAAAACGATTGTTTTCAGTATATTTGGAAACTTTACAGACAGCTCTGTGTGTCATATAAAATGTTTCGTGTTGATTGGTGATTATGCGTTCTTTCATACTGCTGCTAAAAAATGAATAATGATATTACATATTGGTATAAATGAATAAATTCAAACTTCATCGTTGTTTTCCGAGCATATAGTGTTACAGTAGAGCATTTCTTTGCCCAAATGTTCACAGACTATTGGCAAATATAGTGCCTATGTTCTAGCTAGACCTAAACAGAAAAAAAATTGTTTTGGCATATCGAGTAAGCCCTAAAAAAAGTTCCAGTTTGGCGGCTCCATTGTCTTTTCAGTCAAGAAAACCAATAAACAGCATCCATAAGAAGTGTGCCCTTGCTTCATTAAAGCCTTCAAAAAGAATGGGGCCGCCAGTCTAAAACAGAACCATGATTTTCTTGTTGCTTTACTGTAATCTTTGATCTTTCTGTGTTTTGTACTGAAATTGTTTCAAAATCGATTACTGAGTAATGTATCAAATCTTCCAGCCATTTTTATATTAAAAATTTTCACTTTTGCTTCTTGTACTACTCCAAACTGTCATCTCTACAATTTTTTTTTGCTCTTTTAGTGTCAGTTACTCACAGTTTTTATAATCTCTAAAAAAAGGTGAAATTAAAAGCCTGAAAATGAATAAGAAATACAAAATAAAATGAACATATCGACAAAATTAATAACAGATATCTCTTTTTTTCGTTTTTTCATTGATTCATTTTTTCAGTTTTTTGCGTTCCAATTTTTTTATTTTGTTTCTAAAATTGAGCTTTTCACTCCTATTGAAGTATTTAAAAATATTTCTCTAGTTATATATTAACAAGATATTTCAAACTAAGGCTTTTGAAACTGCTCGTTTTTTCAGAACAAACCCACTTACTCTTCGTTTTTTTCGGATATTTTTTTCAGTGTTTCCAATGACTCTTTACCCGCAGATCATCATTCACATCAAAACTGAAGTCTTTTGGAGCCAAATTTTTCACAAATTTAGCGCACTTAAGGTTTTTTCAAAACAAAAAAAGACAGAGGATATATTGTGACAGAAAAAACTACAATTCTTCAAATTTTAATAACAGTAGCAAATTCCCCCACCCCCCTTCCCCCCAAAAAAAAAGATCGAAAAGAAAAATAATTGTTTCCAGGTATGACAAGAATGTGTTATTTGAAACAGTGAGGAGAGAAGGTAGACATAGAAAGGTAATGAAGTGTCAAACTTTAGATAAAACAATCCAAAAATCCTGCAGCAATAAAGTTTTTTCTGATCAGTTTATGACTGCTGCGGTCATAAACCTCGTTACTCTTTTTTTTTCTACTTTTGATTCAACTACTCGTTACCTGGATTACAGTATCAAAGTAAATAGTTATGAGTTATGGGCGTTTAACTCGATTGTTACAGTAATTAATGCAAAATATGCATTAAAAAATTGAAATGCTCAGCAAAAAAAAAAAA